ATTGTTTGTCTCTCTGTGTTGTATCCCCTTGCCCAGCCTGTCCAAAGTGTCCCTGCAACCTCCCTGCAAGCCTAAGAGGAATAAAATGGTTATGGTGTGAAATGAATGAAAAGATCTCTGTCAAAATCTGACCCTGTGACCTTCTGGGGCAACACTGCTAAGCAGCTGCACCAAAGTGCACTTTACTGCATGCACAAAAAACTGGTGAAAGAAGCAAATCAGGAGCACAAAAAAGATTGAACATGAGTTATAAACTAAAACTCTGCTTTCTCACAGTGGATCTGGCCAACTGCTGCTAAGAGTATTTCCATTCTGCACGGGGCATTAAACCCTTGAAGCATCAGAGAAAAGAATAAAAGGAGAAAACGTTTCTCATGTCATGCTGATTTAATGACCAAATCAGTCATGAAGCACAGAAACGATGTGATGTAAATGTTGCTCCAACCTTTTGCTCGTTTAAAAATAAAGTTTGGATTCCCCAACCAACACATTTGATCTAACAGAACTTCCCGGTTGTCTAATATTCGTTTTTAGGCACGCTAACAAGTACATGTGCATCATGGGAACAGAGGATTTATGCAGTCCCGTTTTTGTTGGGTTGAAGCTCACTTCTTGTGCTCCTTGCATGTATTTTTGTCTTTTGGCTTCATCAGAAGATTCGTCTTTATTCTGCCTCCAGGGATAAAATCTGTGGGCAGCAGCTGCAAACACATTTACTTTTCTTGGTGCGTTCGAAAAGAGTGCCAGCATTTGGAACACTGCTAGCTGTTTACTCTGATGTGTAAGAGTTAGGGTTGAGGTTAGGCTAACCCTAACCCTTAGCAGACATGCAATTAGAAGCCAGGTCCTGGGAAATAATTTTCCAAGGTGTAGTTTCATTTTTTTTTAGTCAGGAAAATGCCCCTTTTGTGCATGGAGGGGCGGGACTTAAAACTTCTACTGCAGCCAACCACTTGGAGGTATTTTTGCTCACTTGTTTACATCACTTGCATCATGAAGTAGCTTTTTAAAGCCAAAGATAACCGGAAAATGTAAATAACTAAAATACGACCAAACAGAGGGAATGCCCCCTAGTGGCTGACTGCGTTATAAGCTTAAATGTCTGCTCCTGTTGGGATATTTAATGATTAATGAGGTCATGCTAAAGTGTTCATTAGGGGATATTCACATGGCTCATACATTGTTTGCTAAAAAAATTATTTTATCATCTGTAATGTGCATTTATTAGTTATTTGATGTTTTTTTTTTAAACTGCCAAGTCCTGGTTCTCCAACATGCCTCATTGGCTGGATTATTTCTTCTGCATGTCCTCACGTTCTGCAGAAACCCACACCCATGCATGTTAGCGTGCTGGATCTGATCCATACAAACACAGTTAGCTCTGTTTTGGAGCTACTCAGTATCAGCTGCATTAAATTCAACTTTGATTACATAAAAGAGGGTTTTTCTCTGATCTACCGATCAGGCCACCGGGGAGGTTGATTTAAAAAAAAACGTCTAGCAATTTTTTTGAAGTTAAAAGAAACATTTGACTTTCATTTGCACAAACTCTGAAATTAAGCTTATCAGTGTCTGGTCTTGTTATGATCACATTTTGAAACGCTCTCACATTTCATCCCCAGACACCTCACTTTTTGTTGACCTATATAAAACAAAATTTCCATCAATCCTCTTTTTTTCCGGTCGTGAGGGCAGCAGCCTAAGCAGAGAGGCCCGGACTTCCCTCTCCCCAGCCACGTGGGCCAGCTCCTCCGGGGAAACCCCAAGGCATTCCCAGGCCAGCTGAGAGACATAGTCCCTCCAGCGTGTCCTGGGTCTTCCTTTGGTTCTCCTCCCAGTTGGACATGCCCACAAAATCTCACCAGGGAGGCGTCCAGGTGGCATCCTAACCAGATGCCTGAGCCACCTCAACCAGCTTCTCTCAATGTGGAGGAGCAGCGGCTCTACACGGAGCCCCTCCTGGATGATTGAGCTTCTCACCCTAGTGAGAGCCCAGACACCGTGCAGAGAAAAGTCATATCGGCCGCTTGTATTCGTGGTCTCATTCTTTCGGTCACTACCCAAAGCTCATGACACATATCTGAGGGTAGGAACGTAGAGCAACCGGTCTTCACCACAACAGACCGGTACAACGCCAGCATCACTGCGGATGCAGCACCAATCCGCCTATCAATCTTGCGCTCCATCTTTGACCTTGTCCTTGACCTGGAGAAGGCATTCTACCCTTTTCTGACTCAAGATCAAACAAAATATGTACACCTTGACCCAAATTGTTCTGGATTTCATCTTTAAAACGTTCTCAGAAAGTGTCCTTCTTGGCTGTAGAAACAGAACTTTTCTTAAGTAAAACTAGGAATCACCAGCAATCTTTGCCAGTAGCTAGAGATTATTTCATGTTAAAGCACTTGTTGTTAAAGAGACCACCTGCAAAGGTGGTCATTTCTATTTAAGTGGGCAGATTCTGGAGCAGCGCTGCCAGGATTGGGTCAGACCTGCTGTGTATAAGAAGGCCTGTTATTGTGTTATGGTGCTCCAGCTCCTTTCTCCTCTGACATCCTGAACAGGCAGCCAGGAAGGATCTGCTAAGTGCCGACTCTCAGCACAGCAGCAGGGAAGACAGCCAGATTTTGACAGAAGAACTTATTCACTCTCTATCCAAGAAGACTTTTCCTATAGGCATAAAGCTGAAAACGACTCAAAAGGCTACGAGGGAAGAAATTTTACTCATTTCCAAACAAGTGTTAAACAAGGTCTTTTGAGGGCTCTTTTAAAAAAGTCTAAATTCTGTCACGCGATCATAAAATGATGAAATTACTGTCTGTTCATCAACACAAGGGGCCTACGTCTACAGTTTGCATCCCTGAATGAACTGGAGTTGGCAGTGAAAAGAAAAATCTGTGATTTCCGTGTGGATTTGTCAAATCCGAATGGATCCAACATAAACCCAAATGACCCCGGGTTTAGGGTGATTTATCACACTCTGCTGCCTGAAGGATGTCCGTGAGCTTCTCAGGCTCGCTGGAGCAAAGAGTGACTCTTACATAAGTGAAAATGATTTACCAGACACAGTCACACCCTCTGGTTAAAACGACCTCTTCCTTTACAGCAGACTTTCTCGAGGAGAGGTTTTCTAAAGAGAGAGTTGATGAGATTTATTCTGCACACCTTTACCTTAGCCAAGCTCTTGGGAATGTGCTTCTGTCTGTGCAGTCTCTTCTGGAGCCACGGTGTATCAATCATTCTCAGACAAAGTACCGCTGCCCCAGAGCCTGGCACTCACGCCCAGGCTCAGACCCAAACGGGTGCCCCGGTTCTTAGCCCTGTCGCCCACTCTGCCAGGAACAGCAGATGATGAATTCTGGAAAGATTTTGCTCTCTTAAAGGGGAAAATGGCAGCTTGTGCTTTGGACAAACAGAGGTAAAGGTTTGCAGGACGGCAGGAAAGCTACTGCACATTGTTACCTTTGCAGAATCGTAGCACTTCATTCAATTGTGATTTAATTTAACAAAACTAGTGAATGCAGCAATAAAAACAGGATCTCTGTGTGTGAGCTGTATTGACGAGGTGCAAGTATCGTTGCATGCCTAAACATGCCCACAAAGAGTGGAACTTGAAATCCAAACGATGTGTTTTTGTAAGAAAGCGCCACAAATTCTGGGAGATTTCACAAGAATAAAAGACTTTGATATTTGCCCAGAAGCTTCCAGTACTCCTTTCCAGATGATAAGATTCTCAATCTTTTTTGAGATCCTTTTTGCCCTCTTTTTTTAAAGAATTGTAGAAGAGGGAGACACTTTGGCTCACAACCTACTGAGTAGATGTTGGCTGCATCTAGACAAGCTATGGTGTTATAAGCTGTTGGTCTTATGATTTCCAAGGTTTCCACCCTCTCACATAAAGAACTACTAAAGTTTTTGCAAAGCTCTTCTATAAATTCAACAATCTAACCATAGTTTCAAGCTATACAAAACTGACACATTTGCAGTTTCAATAAAAATTGTTTATGAAAATGTATTTTGGTTGCAGGTTTAGTTAATACAGCATGCATAAGTACCACCATTTACAGGTTAATTTTACATACTGGGAAAAAATGTCATTTTTAGTCCATATGGTAAAAACAAACGCACCTGTGTGAGGCAAAAGATTCATTTTGTGTTTCCACAGTAAATTTCCTTTAAATCTTATAAAAAGAAATCAACCAAATCTTTAATGAATCGCTGTCACTAATGTTTAGATGTGAAAAGTACCTGCTTGGAGCAAAAACAGCAAAAATCCCATCTAATATGTGAAAACACTGCCCTCTGCTGGCCAAATACCATCACAAATATTGCAATATTTAGCATCTTTCTCACACATTTGCAGTTTTATAATGAGGGCCATTTTTAATACTATTGCTATTAAAAATATAATTGCAGTTACTTTGATCAAGCTGTAGAAAGAACACCTTGAGGTCAGGAGGCGTAAAAGGGCCAATTTCTGTTTCTTGGCCCTTGTTTAAAAAGGACACAAATACAAACATAACTACTTTCAGCTTTACTAGCAAGGACCTAGAAAATGAATTCTGTTAAAGGTTTGTTGATGAGGATTATTGGATGCATGTAGAAGATGAATTGATTTCAATTTGTTTTTATTTTATTCAAACGTGCTTATGTACATTTTTTCTTCCTTTTTTTCCCATGAGCATTGCCGTGCTCTTCCTGGGTAGGTGATACACACTCTGTAGTGTGTAAGGAGTGTAGTAGGTTTTATTTGAAATGAAAAGACAAAGACCCAGGTTAGAAATCTTGGTGTCATAATTGATTCAGACCTGAGCTTCACCATTCACGTTGTTTATAACTAGATCAGCGTTTTATCACCTGCACCAAATAGCACGACTCAGGGTCTCATGTCCAGACAAGACCTAGAGAAACTCATTCATGCGTTCATCTCTAGCAGACTGGACTACTGCAATGGTCTTTTGTCTGGTCTTGAGAGCTTTACAAGCAAATCGACACGTTACTAGGTGGAAAAAGAGAAATCTTTATTAGATTACATCAAAAACATGGGACTGCGATGACAGCGATGCAGTTCTTCCATACATGCCTTTATTTGGACATGAGCAAAAGCCAGCTTTGATAAAGTGGCATTTTTGTGTGTTTTGAGCCATCCTGAACCAAGAAGTATTTGTACATAACTTCGACCTGTACATTTATGCCACTCAAAGAAAATACACGTGTTTTAAAGATAATTTTGATCTGCTTTGATCAAATTTGAAGGTTTAGGCTTCAAATGTGTTTAAAACAAAATGATATTCACAACTACTCCTTGATTCAAGTCATTGTGAAAGGTGTTAGGGGGGTTTCTACTTTTTGGCAATCTGGAGACGATCGCTCACATTCTCCCAGTTGATTACATTCCAGATAGCTTTGACGTAGTCAGGGCGCACATTTTTGTACTGAAGATAATAGGCGTGCTCCCATACGTCAATGCCGAGGAGGGGGATGAGACCTAATAAATAAATACACATAAATAAATAAATGTGTGCAAAAATACTGTCCCAGATTTGCAATCAATACTTTTTCAAACCGACCTGTTGTCCCCTGCAGGGGATCTTGATTTGCACAAGCAGCAATGTGAAGTCTTCCACTCTCCTTGTCGTAACCCAGCCATCCCCAGCCCGAGCCCTGCACTGCCACCGTAGCAGCAGACATCTTTTCCTTCATCTTCTGGAAAGAGCCAAAGTCCCGTTTGATGGCCTCCATAAGCTCTCCTACAAAACATCAAAAAGACAAGTGTGGCTTCATACAAAATCAGCTAAACTTTTTTGACTGACATTTTCTTCCTATTTTATTTTTTTAAAGTTTGGTATATCGAATGCGTAGTGTTTTATCAGTCTAACCTTGTGGCTCGCCTCCACCATTAGGAGAAAGATTTGTCCAGAAGATGGTGTGGTTAATGTGGCCTCCCCCGTTAAACTTCAAAGCAGGCTGGAGGGCTACCTGTGCAGTGACATCTCCTAAAATAGGAAAAATAAAAATCACGCTTTTTGACAAATACTGAATAAAAACAAAACAGGAAATGGGTCAACTTTTGTATGTACCCTTTGCAAGAGCCTCTTGATACTTCTCCTCTGTAACATTGAGGTTATTGACATAGGTAGCATGATGTTTGCTGTGGTGCAGCTGCATTATCTCTGCACAGATGTGAGGCTCCAGGGCTCCATAATCATAGGTCAGGTGAGGAAGGGTGTGCTTCTGCCTTGATGCAGCTATCTGGTTAATGCTTTGGCTGAGGCTGGCTGCGCACCTGAAATTAACAAAGAGGAGAATTGTAATAAATCACGATCCAATTGTGCATCAATCACCGGATACAACTAAACAGCAATTCAAGATGGCTGCAAGCGACTGACTTTAGTGTTTATTCAGGATTTACACAGCCGAAACCATTAACTAAATGTACTTTTAACATAGGCTCGTGTGTAATTTTGTGCATTCGTTTTGACACTTTAAGTTTGCAACTGCATTCAACCCTAGGCATAAAATAATGACGGAAGTAATCTAAACTATTTGGTGCGCCATAAACTAATGTAAACAGCTTGCTAAACTAAGTTAGCATCCTGGCTAGCAAACTGTTAGCTCCTGATGTTTGAAGATCATACTCGATTACAGCACGCAACAGCTCACTCTGCCTGTTTTCAACAACTTTATATATGCCCTAATGTTACGCGAACATCCGTTTTACCTGCGTATTTGCCCAAGTCTGCTCAGCATGTTTCGAATGGACCTCAGCAGGTAACCAGAACCGTGTGCACGCGCTAGTAAATAACTGCCCTTGAAACTGAGCCATTTCAAGTTGACAGACTGCACCATCATTATTATACGATGGGGGTGTTTGGAAGCGTTTGCATGATTTCTGTAATGTTGCGGACGCTGAAAGTTGGACTTCGTCGAAACATTGGTTTGCCGTGTTTGTCAATAAACCTTTAACTTGTGGCATTTTTTATGAGTAACCATGTCATTTTGTTTTTGAAATGCGTTTCCCTATTACGCTGCACATGGTCTTCAGGGCCTTAGCTCGTTATTTTTCTTTTTATTATAAATTAGTAAACAAGTGTAAGACTTGGATTTGTGTCGTCAAAATGTTTAACGAAATTTTGAAACACGAGAGTAATCAAAATAAAGAAATGTTTAGAAGACCACGAGGCACGTGACCCTCTTTTTTAATCGTGACGTGAAGATTGTCTACTTTGTTAAGATGTCCCACTCTTTAGAAATGTTCTTTTTTTTTTTAAAAGTCTTCATCCAATTTAATCAATGACTCAAAGCAAACATATGTTTTGCCTGAACCAGTTATTTTAGAAATATGCGTTTCTGCTAGGTCACCTATATTTGAATAATTTTAACTTAATTAACAAATAACATTTTTTGTTTATTTATTTATTCTATTTAGACAGATGTTATCAATTATTTTGGTCGACTGACTCTAAAAAGTTGTACCACGCATAATCAAACATTAACTATAGTAAATTATATAAATAAAACGTTGAAAATATCCCTTGTGTCGTGGCCCTGCTCGAGTTTCAGAAATTATTTTACGAGTGAGGCGTCTTCTCTCTGTTTTTAGCTCTCTGGTATTACTCCGCAGCATTTTCGTCCGTAGCTATTCCACACTGCCGTCAGCTAAAGAAAGATGATTGCGACTAAGCCCAAACGATACCGTTACTTGTCATTTCTCTGAATATTTGACCGTTTATGTGATTGTTATCCTCACAAGGAATTTCTGAAGCCGACAGTTCTGAGAAACATCGAAGATTCAGGGCCAGGTGAGTGTTTTTGTGGCGTCAGGCCTGGTAACTGCAGCCAAGAGCCCGCTAGTTTCAGGAAAAGGAGCGCAAGGGAGGGAGTCGTTTCCTTCACCGCCATTTTGTTATAACAAGGAGCCGAAACAGAGCAAAGAATTAAGTGCCACCCATTTGAATTTAAATTATATTTAAACGTTACTTTGTAACTATGAGTTCAATTTACCATTGCAAAGGAGTGCTAAATATTAGTGGTCAGTAGTTCACCTTGGTTAGCTTCTTCGCTCTGCTAGCTGCCACAATGTCCCGACATTTAGCTGTACAGCGCTTATCAACTGGTTATGTTAAATCTTATGTTATCGACCAATGAGTCAACTCTTTGCCATAAAATATGCGGTGTTCTTTCTTCAGAAACCAAAACGCACGTAATTTAGCTTGTGTGCTAGTCGTGACTAGACTGCGTGCGGAGAACTAACGCTTTAGCTTTAAAGATGATGCAGTTAATTCAACCTGCAATTTAAGCAGCAGTAACTGATGATTTCTTGTCATATTTTCTTCTAGAGTTCAAAATGACCAACGAGGAACCTCTACCCAAGAAGGTTAGCGTCTGATCCTGTTCATCTCCTATTTGAACTATGTTCATTTAGCCTTTGATTGTCTCCAAATAGCAGCCGGCCTCATTGACCAGTTTTTCTGTTTTCACAGGTTCGCCTGAGTGAGTCGGACATGAAGACCCTGACTAGAGAAGAGCTGTGTACCAGGTGGGTGTTCACGCTGCGATTGCTGTAAAATCACGTGTTCATCTAAAAATGTTGAACCTTCTTTTCTTGTTTCAGGTGGAAACAGCATGAAACGTACGTGCAAGTCCTCGAGACCAAATATGCAGAGCTGTGTTGTAAGTGCAGTTTCGTAAATGCAATCCAGCATCATGTTGAGTTTAGTTTATTTAGCCGTTTCAACAGTCAGCTATAAATGCTACAATGAGTGCATTGCGTAACCTTTGGCTGTCTGTGAAGAGGACTAATCGTGTGATGTTTTTTCATCTCATCCCTTCAGCAAACGATGTTCCAGGACTGAAGGAGTCGGAGGAAAAGCTCAAGCAGCAGCAGCAAGAGTCTGCTCGCAGGGAGAACATCCTGGTCATGCGACTTGCCACAAAGGAGCAGGAAATGCAAGAGTGTACAGTACGTATCTGTTTGCCACTGAATTCACTGTTTTGCTTTGGTCGAATGTTGCTCCCCGTTGATCTGTAGGAAGCTCCTTGTTGGGTGATTGATTTATTTTCTCTCTGATGGATGTCGACTCTCCTTTTTGTAATACTGTATAAAAAGGCGATGTTGAATTTTACTTATCATTAGGTTAGGTCACAGAAGTCAAACGTTCACTAATGACAATAGATTAATACAAAATGTAATGTTTTATAGTGATGTTTTGAACAGATGCCTTATTTAAAATGGCAAACATCAAAATGAGTGCTAACATCTGTCAGTGTGGCAGCTGTAGTCGATGTTTTATGTATTTACACAAGATCAGAGCTTCTTAGCCATAAAACACTGCTTATAAGTGCAATATGATCTTTGATTGAGATTAAAATACTAATAGAAGTAAATGTTGCATGGTGTCATTTACACATACATGATATTTTTCTAAGTTTGTGACGTAAAAGGATCTTAAAACAAGCAGCAGCATTTGCAGAGCAGCAGCTGTTATAAACAAACGTGCTGTTTTCTGTCAACAGAACCGGTCGTAAACAGGGATACTGCTATGGCCATTCACATTCATTCACACTGGGCCAACAAGTAGTTAAGGTCAGCCGTTGGCTTTAGACTGATGGTACAGAGTGTTCAGTGGCTTTATGGGGGCTCATCTGCCTTAAAGAGCAGCAGAGCTCACCTCAGCACACCTTTTCTTTCATTTAAAAGCCAAAAATAAGGATTAGGTTCAGTCAGATGCTGCTACTTTTGTTGCTTAAGCCATATTAGTTGTGCCTTTTGGCATATCGTGTAGGGCTGGGCAATAAACCGAAAATGTATCGTTATCGAAATTTCTGACTTATCGTGATAAATGTTCCCATATCAATACATTTGATAATACAAAATTGAAAAGATGTGTGTGGGTTGGCAACGTTCATGTCCCTAGCTGTACCAGGGTTTTTCCTGCATTCAAATTTGCCTGGTGGCCTCCTCCAGCTAATTTGTGCCGCCCCAGCCTGATTTCACTCTGCCCCCAGCTATATGGATGTTATTTTAACTGCAGTTGCAGCATTGCACCACTACGGGGTGCTGTATCGGCAGCGGTGCACAAAAAAGCACTAAAACCGCAGCAGACAAAGATCAAAAATTGCTTTTCTCTCTAGTTACATATCTGTGGTCGGTGCTATTGATGTCCTGATTTTCCCCCAGGCTCTTCCATATCAGAGCAGGGCTGTACAGTGCGATGAAAAACACTGTCTGCGTGTCTGTCTATTTGTAAATGTAACACGGGTGCAACATCTTTGAATTACCATTTTCCCCTGAACTTTATTGAACAAAAGTAAGTTACTTGTAAGAAAAATGCTTTTTACTGGCGCACGACGTGGTCATCTGGATGCAGTGGAGGAAAATAAAGGAACCGGCAAAGACGCAAAGGCAGAACCGGTGCAAAGTTTGGGATCAAAAGTGCAGCTACACGCAGATTGCCTAAAGCTAACGGGTAGCCGTCTCACGATCAAACACAGAAAAATATATGATGATGGTATAACTAAGAAAGACTAAACTCTGCAAGCGGATGAAAAGCCCCCACCATCCCGTTTAGTCTGCATCCTGCAGCGCTACGGATCAAAACCGCTGCAGATACGAGTCACATTACTGCTGTCGCTGGAATTACGGCAAGCCGTTGTAGTATATAATTCACAAATGCATCTATCTTTGAACATAACATAAACTGGATTATTTCCAACCCGTACATAATAGACATGCCACCATTACATTGTTAGCAGCAGAAATTAAATGTAATTACCATTTCCAATACAAATGCATGTTAGTGAAATGCATTATATGTTACTGGATATGTTTATGTGTCATTTAGATTAAGATGAGTGTTATTAATACAAACCTGAAATGTAGGTCAAACATTTACAAATATTTTAACTATAAATATCAGCTGGGAAAAAGGGAACTAAACACCAATCTGATGTAAATTATTGAGCCTTTTATAATATTTTACCTTGAAAAAAGTGAGGCAGTGTAATGCACGGAGTATGCATGTGCTGGCGCATGGTCAGGATGGTACCACCTCTGCCTCAATTTGAGCCAGGAAAAACCCTGCGTACCACCTTGAGTCAAGGTTATACACGTGGCAGCCCCATCTAGTGGATAACTTTTGTTACCTATCGTTATCGAGGTGAAATCTTCAATACATCGTGATATTGATTTTAGGCCGTATCGCCCAGCCCTAATGTCATGTAAATGTGCTATGGTTGCTTTGGGGTAAAAGCTTTAAGCATTAGCAGGTAAGTTTTGTTTTAGAGTACTTTAAACACCCACAATTCTTTATTTGTTTATTTATAGATCAGCGGATAACAGTTTGTTTTGTATCATTTTAAAGGCTGATTAAATATTATCAAGGCTCTTCTATAATAAACCCATAACCTCAGAATAAAGCAGTTTATTGTTGAAGCATCGTTTTAAAGATTTAAACAGATGTCTAATGTGTATTCCGTTCCATCCTGCAGACCCAGATCCAGTACCTGAAGCAAGTCCAGCAGCCGAGCGTGGCCCAACTGCGGTCGTCCATGGTGGATCCAGCCATCAACTTGTTTTTCCTCAAAATGAAGGCTGAACTGGAACAGACTAAAGACAAACTGGAGCAGGCCCAAAATGAACTGAGTGCCTGGAAATTTACACCTGATAGGTAAAGACAATCAAAAATAACTCCCCCCTCAGAAAAAGTCAAGACTTCCTCACGCCTCCCCCATCCTCACTCTCACTGCAGGCATGCAGGAACAATGGTGGGGGGGGGAGGCTGACAAAACGCTGTTCTCGTCACGAGACTCAGACTTTACAGACAGCCAGTCACTGCAAAAACAAAACAGCTTTTGTTCTTTTGTTACCGAGCCAGCTGCACACCACTTAACCTAAAAAACACAATAAAAAAGACCGTATGGTCAGGTGACACTCGTGTGTTTCAGCCTCATATCCTCACCGTCCAAGGGCCTGAAGGAGTCCGGACTGTTCTGAAGAGGTGGTCTCTCACTTCCTGCCACGGATATGCCCTCTCTGCCCCCCCGCTCAGCTCAAAGCAGACAGTTCATTTATAAAATAAGGGGATTATGGGGGAGGATGTGTCAGGCAGGGGGCATCCCTAGCCTAAAACAACAATTGAACATTTCAAAGACATGTAACAGTGGATCATTTCACACAAACACCTGCTAGTCTCCCTGAGAAGTGTAAAGACCCTTTGGCTACATTTCATTCACATGAGGAAAATTAAGACTAAAGCTAACTTGTGGGGAAGGAGACACTAAACATTTAAGACTGAGCGGAGCCAGATCTTCGGATCACAAAGGTGGTTGAGGCATGGGGTCCAGTCGGACCGACTCACGGTAGAGTCCATCTACGTGTTTTGTTTTGTGAACTGTTTCATTTCATTTGATAGAAACACTTACTGCAGTGTGTGGAGCCTGATTGACTTGTATTATTTACCCGCATGTTCTGTGTACACGGTTTGGATTGGGCTTTGCTAAACCCCCTCAAACACACTGCCGTACGTGTGTCGAGTCCTGTTATCAAACTGAGTGAAAATGTCCTGAAGAAGCTGTGTTTGAGATGACGAGGGTGTATTTTTTTGTATTTGTGTATTTTTGTGATTGACCAAATCATTTCTCCCACAGAAAGCGACTTCTCTGCTATACCCACTAGTTAATTATTTTAACAGTTTGGGGCTCACGTTTTTATTTTTTTATTTTACGTTGGCTTTAAAATAACTCCCAGCATATTTAATAGCAGGAGAATGCAGCAAATGCTCTTAAATCATAAACATTTCTAGTTTTAGCCTTTTTAAACATGCCTCACCATGCCTTGTACAGGATGCAGTTACTGCTGAGTTTAACGTCTTTAGTTCCCTCGGGGCCGATGATACTTAAATGAGTATATATACATTTATTCTTCAGATGTGGCCATCAGGAATTGTTTTGAAGTCATTTATGTAATTTCTTTGCCTTTTTGGCTTCTTTATGACTGATTCCAAAAGCATAGCTGCAGTCCTAACTGATGTCAAATCGCAGGTGTAGCAAAGTGCTTCCCAGCTTCTTTACCTGTTGTAAATGGAACAAACCGCATCTGGAGCTGTGTGATTGTGCTGTTGAAACATTTGTGTTTAATATGAGGACACCTTTTTCTGTTTGCTGCTCTGAAAGTTTGACTTTTAGTGTTTCACTGGGAAAAGATCGAGCTCTGTGATGCTTTTCTATTTACAGCTAGCTGTGTTTCGAGGAGGAATTTAAAAGGGTGCTAATCTTTCTTGTATTTTTATTATGTTCATCGTACTTCCATGTGTTTTATGGTAAGTTGGAGTGAAACGGTGCAGGTTTTAGTTTTATACAAATGTCTGTCAGCCATGATTTACTTTATACCTAAAGGACCACCTTGTTTTAGTTGGTAATTTCAGATTTATTTAAGTTCTTCAGGTCATTTAGACTAAACTCTTTTCTTGTGTTTGTATCTGTTAACTTTTTCAGCACTGCCGATGCTTTTTGTTAGCGCCAGGTTGAAGGGTTTATAACTGGGTCATTCTCATCCATGTGCTAGTTTCGTTTGCCTGCTGGTTCACTGTGTGATGTGAGACTTGTTTCCCTTACAGCCAAACGGGGAAGAAGCTGATGGCCAAATGTCGAATGCTGATTCAGGAAAACCAGGAACTGGGGCGGCAGCTTTCTCAGGGACGCATCGCTCAGCTGGAGGCTGAGCTGGCCCTGCAGAAGAAGTACAGCGAGGAGCTCAAGAGCAGTCAAGATGGTAAGTTTTACAAGATTTGCTTCTACATTTGTTCTGTTTTAGTTTGTTGCATTTCAAATGGATTTTAACCTTGTTTTATTCGTGGTTTCTTCACCCAGAGCTAAATGACTTTATTATCCAGTTAGACGAAGAGGTAGAGGGGATGCAGAGCACCATTCTTGTCCTGCAGCAGCAGTTGAAGGAGTCCCGTCAGCTTCTCTCTCAGTCTCAGGTTGCTTTGGCTGGAGCAGGACCCAGTAGGACTTCACCCACCGCCTCCAGCTCCTCTGTTGAACCCTCGACTCAGCCAGAGCAGACCAGCGTTCCCGCCGAGCCAATGGGCAAAGACTACGGAAGGGTCTCCAATGGTCCAAGCAACGGCAGCTCATCCCAGAGGAGCGAGACAATCACGCCCACCTTGTACCGCGAGGTCAGCAGCGCTGAGGAAGACTTTCCAATGTCCCCCGTCGTCTCCAGCCCGAGTGAAGCTGAGACCAAACTTTCCAACCATTCAGAGGAGGCGCCGGTCAGTCAGACTGCTTTGCGACGAGCTGGAGGGCCTCGGGGTTTTGGGAGCCAGCTGAGTGTAGGGTATGAGAGCGTGGACTCTCCCACAGGCAGCGAGACATCATTGACTCAGCACTCGAATGACACAGACTCCACAGATCCCCACGAGGACAAGGCTGCCCTGGTTACCAAGGGCACGAGGACTGCAGGGTCACGTCATGCTCAGAATGGCCTGGACTCCAACACAAGCAACAGTGCAGCTTTGTAATGTACTTCAATATGTTCTGTTTTTTTTGTTTTTTGTTTTTTATATATATAAAGTAAACAAGGCAGCAAAATGCATCTGTAACACAGCACCCTTGTCCCTTTGCCTATTGTGATGCCTTAGTCACATTTGTGTTGCTTAATGGGGATATAAACAGTAAAGGTTAATGTTAGATTTGGATTTTGTGGATTTAAAACTAGTATGTTTCACTCTGTTTATTTGAGCACATCTATACTTTGAGCTTTGACATGGATTCAGGCGTCTGGTGTTGTAACCCAAGTCATGTCGGTAAAATCATTAAATTACAATAGTTCACATGTTCAAAGAGGTCATATTTAGATGTTGACCTGTGCTCTTTTTTTAGTACAGTTTTTATTTTTCATTGGCAAAAAAAACTGAATATGTTCAAGTGTGAGTAGTTCACATACAATGTTCGTAATATTCTGACTTCAGCCCTTTTCGTGTACTGACCAAATACCAATAAAAAGTTTTAATACTAATATGAAACCCATTATTATTCACCATCAATGCTTTAATTTCAAAACTGTACAAGCCTCCCAAAGAAGTAACACGCAATTTTAAATTCCAGGCTATGACTGGATGTCTTCTGCAAATAAGCATGAGTGTGAAGGCCTGTTTAGTTGTATAAAAGTCTTAGTAATCGCATTAACAAGGTGCAATTTTCAATCTATACAAAAAGGTGTTAGAATACTATATTGTAATCGGGATTGCTTTACGAAACCGTTTATGTAAAAGCATTTAGTCAGCTTTACCTGCAGTTATCCTCCCAAACGGATGGTGGCGCTGTTCCCGCCACGTACATTTATTCTCATGGCTTTTTTTTTTGCACTCATTGGTAAAGGATAACAAGTGTGTCAGAAAACAGAAAGAGCTGCACAGTGAAGCCTCACCAGCTTTGAAGATGAACATCGAACCTGTCGTCATCGTTTCTGCCGCAAGAACCCCGATTGGTAAAGCCAAATACCTTTCACAGGTTCTCACCTACACACTGCGATTTTCTTTTTCTTTTCTTTTAATGCTTTAAAGCCGTTATTAAATAATTACAACTGGAAATAATTCACCTCTTACGTTTATTATTTCGTTAGACACGTTCATAGTCACCTAGCTAATCGTTTTTTGTCTTTTAATTAGTCAAATTGGTTATCTCTTTCAGTTTAGCACGCAGGACTCTAGAGGAGCCGTGATTGGTTGGCTGAAATGTGTGACGTATTTCCTTGCTTTTGATTGGCTGGCAGTGATAGTGCCACGGAGCAGGAGCTTCCTGCTATTGGGTACTTAAATTATGACGCGTGTTACTTGTTTTCTGTCGATATGCAGTTTAACTTAATTTTGCACAGATTTATCATCCGTTTGTAATTAAAGTTGAAGATTAACAGTGTTATCCTTTTCAGTTTTTCAAAAACACTAAACGAATCAGTGTTTTTTGTTTTAATAGATTTTCAACCCCTAAACAAAAGGTTATTGCTACTTTGGTGTAATGAAAAAATCATCTTTAACATTTTCATACATCGTTTTAGTTAAATTTCCAGTAAATTGTGATGATTTGAGGCTACATTTGAGTCATCCTGCAGTGTCAGAAGCGGTTTGTATCTAATCTTTGTAGACCTGCCACCAGTATATAAACTCCAATTTTTGTACAGGGTGCTTGAATGGCGCTCTGTCCACAGTGCCTCTACGTGACCTTTGTTCAGTAGTGATCAAGGATGTTCTGAAGCGGGCAGGGGTGAAACCGGAAGAGGTCTCAGAGGTCATCATTGGAAATGTCCTAACAGCAGGTAAAAAAACAAAACTGAAATTGTCTGAAAAACAAACATCTGCTAGCATTCTATCATGATTTTTTTATCTCTTAGGTCAAGGGCAGAATCCTGCACGACAGGCCAGCGTTGAGGCTGGTATTCCGTATCCTGTCCCGGCTTGGAGTTGCCAGATGGTTTGTGGTTCTGGTCTGAAAGCTGTTAGTTTAGCAGCTCAGTCTATCCAGGCTGGAGAGGCTTCTGTGGTGGTGGCTGGGGGCATGGAGAGCATGAGCAGGGTTAGTAATAAGATCATTTAAGGATGGTAACTGGGTAGGATAAAAGTCTCACTGGGGTTGTCTGTCTACTCAGGCTCCTCACACTATGCACATGAGAGTGGGGGTGAAGATGGGTGACGTCTCACTGCAGGACTCCATGGTCGCTGATGGCCTGATTGACGCCTTCCATAACTACCACATGGGAATCACAGGTATGTAAACTCAAGTAATTCTGTGTCATGTTATATCAATATTTAATGTGATTATGAATCTGTCAGCGGAGAATGTGGCCAAGCAGTGGGGGATCACTCGAGAGGAGCAGGACCTGTTCGCTGTCAAATCTCAGAACAAAGCCGAGTCGGCGCAGAAAGCAGGGCACTTTGATCCGGAGATTGTCCCAATCGTTGTGCAATCCAGAAAAGGTGAAAACCTGTTAGTGATGACCTCCACATTTCTCTGCACTTATGCTAAACGTGTGAAATGCTCTCTCCTTCAGGTCCGGTCGAAGTAAAGTTAGATGAGTTTCCCCGACATGGAAGCAACATCGACAGCATGTCCAAACTCAAACCATGTTTCATCAAAGATGGCAGTGGCACCATCACCGCTGGCAACGCTTCAGGTTCCAAATGGGCTTTTGTGAGCTGTAGAGTGCATCGTTTTGATTGTTAGGAAAGGACACGTGAAGCAGTTTCACTATTTTACTTGCAGGTGTAAATGATGGAGCAGCAGCCACTGTCCTAATGAGCCAATCAGAGGCTGAGAGGCGGGGCGTGGAACCCATGGCTAAAATTGTATCGTGGGCTCAAGCAGGTCTTGACCCTTCCATCATGGGAACTGGGCCGATACCTGCCATCAGAAAAGCGGTGAGAAGTCAGCAGTAATTAATCATAGCAGGTGCAAAAATGAGTATTTTTGCTTTACTAATTTTGTGCTTTTCCAGGTTGAGAAAGCAGGCTGGAAGCTGGATCAGGTGGATCTATTTGAGATCAACGAGGCGTTTGCAGCGCAGTCCATCGCTGTGATCAAAGAGCTGGGCTTGAATGAAGACAAGGTCTTTTTTTTTTTACACTGAAACTATCAAGACTCCAAACAAAAGTAGAACATTTGTTACCTTTAAGTCTCTGTAAATAATTATTTCTGTTTCTAGGTAAACGTAAATGGCGGAGCCATTTCTCTGGGTCATCCCATCGGCATGTCTGGCTGCAGAGTGCTGGTGACGCTGCTGCATGCACTTCAGAGGACTGGAGGAAGGAAAGGCGTAGCATCCCTCTGCGTTGGAGGAGGGATGGGTGTCGCTATGTGTGTAGAGAGGGTTTGAGATCAACACCTCACATGTTGCACTTTATCTTTTAAAGGGATAATAATAGTTTACACTGAACAGAAGTGTCAAAGATGGGGTTCACCTAGCTTCTTCTAGTGGGTGTTGTGATGTTACTCTGCAACAACCTGCCATTCTCACTGTGATTTTAATTTCCTCAGGCTTTAGATGCAAGATCAAACTCAAATACTGGTCTTAATGTTGTGTGCTTGCAGCTTTTATACAAGCAATTGCTAAAAATTCAAGATGTAAACGTGCTTTACTGGCTACAGACTGTTCATGTTCTATTTGTTTCTAGTTAAGAATAGAAGTACAATGATAAAGCACTACAGCTGGATGAGACAGGTCTGTAAGGGATTTGCTTCATGCTTTCAAAACATTTCAACGTTCCATCTTCTCTCCCAGGAGTTGTACAAATATGTGCTTTAACAATTCTGCTTTCTGACCTTCCTGTAAACTAACATCTGTAATCAACATTCTGTTAAGACATAATCAAAATAATTCACCAAATAAACATTCGTTTACAACCACTGAAGCTTTATTGTGTCCAAAAACAAAATCATTAACAGTTTTGAAGCGTGAACCTCAACAGGATGGGAGTGGGATCAGTGAGAAGCCTACACTAGCGCAACAGCCATAACGAGCCTGTAAATGCATAAATACACATTACTGAACATAATGAGACCAGCTTTTCAACCCTCTAGAGCGCCAGATTCAACAGCATCTCTATACGAGTTCCCGCCCTCCTTGGGCTCTGGGAACAGTTTGATGAGGTCATCGATACGGAGGATGGTGATCGCCGCCTCGGTGGCAAACTTGAGGCTTTTTGTTTTAACCATGGTGGGTTCGTAGACACCAGCCTGACGATTGTCCCTGGGTTTGCCGTTCACCAAGTCCAAACCAATCCTACGAGACAAAAAGGTAATTGGATAAATAACACTTGGCATGTGACAAAAACAAGTCATTTTTAACTCACCATTTGAGATTCTTGCGTTCAGGGTTGACCTGAGCCTCGTTGTGGAAGGCTCGAAGTTTGGCCACCAAGTCTGTGGCGTCCTGCGCAGCGTTCACAGCCAGAGTTTTGGGGATGACGAGAAGAGACCGTGCAAACTCTGCAATGGCCAGCTGCTCTCTGGAGCCCTGAAAAAAAAGCATTAAAACAACAACTTTAGCCTCAACTTTCAGAATAAAAGTTTTACAGGTGTAAGCCGGACTTGGCTAAGCATGAACTCACCATGCTGGTAGCATAGTTCTCCAGGTAAATGGACAACGCTGCCTCCACAGCACCTCCTCCAGGTACCACCGATTTAGACTCCAGCACCCTCTTGACCACACACAGAGCATCATGTAGCGAACGCTCCATCTCATCGCACATGAAGTCATTAGCTCCACGCAGAATGATGGAGGCTGATGTACGTGCTTTTGTACTGGTGGGAGGAAAAGTTTGAGAAAATGAGGGGGGGGGGGGGGGGGGTGTAAATAATTAAAAAATACTGACTTTCTCCACTTCTAAAAATGTATATAAAAAGACAAGAGTTCCACAGAGTACTTGCACTTTCTAGCACTTATCTAGTTGTGATGTTTGGAATCAAATCAAGCAGTTGCTCTGTAGTAGCTCTTACTTCTTTATAATGATGAGCTCATCATCACAGATGCGCTCCTGCGCAACCTCCTCGGCCTGGCCGAGCATGGTGGCATCAAACGTCTCCTCTCCTTCCAGATTGGACAGCGAGGAGCAAAAGGTGGCTAAAAAAATAAAAATTAAAACTTTGAAGAACAAGACTACTGACAACTGATAACATTGAACAAACATTTAAAACTTCAACAGCATGTTTCTTACTCACCTCCTGTTGCCTTGGCGACCCGTTTCAGGTCCTTTTTGAGAACCCGTCTAACTGCCATAGCGCCAGTTTCCACAAAGTACTTCAGACACATGTCGTCGATGCCACCAGTGGTCAAGATAACATTTGCTCCTGCTGCTAAAATTTTCTGGATCCTCTCCTTGGTGATGTCAGATTCCCTAAACCAAACAAAGAAATTATATCAATAAACATCATTTCTCCCACACATATCGCTGAACAACCTATTGATCCAGCAGCGCAGCTCATTTTAATGAGACAAATCCACTAAGACGTGTAATAAAGAACGCCTACCTCTGTCTGATCTGGTCCAGCTTGTCCGGGTCGTTAATAACTACTTGGACGCCCATCTTCATTTTGGTTTTCTGCAGGCTAAAGTCCAGGCAAGCGATCTTAGCGTTTACAACCCGCTTCACCATTTCTGCAAATATCATTTACATCACATTATGTGAAAAAAACCCAAAAACCAAATAAATAACTTCATTTTTTTTTTCTCTCTCTCACTCATATCACTGTCTGGACAAAAGAAGCGCCACAGTTAACAACTACTGTGACCATGTTCCTTTTAGGGCCAGTTTACTTTATCCCACGCGTATCACTGCATACATCATCAACCAAGACATAGCAGCAAATAAATGGGAATTTACTCAGCACCAAGTGATATTGCATCTTAATTAAAAACATTTTAGATCTGCTAAATCAAGACAACTTTACCTTGTGAGCCAACCGTGCAGTTCAGTGCGTAACCGTTGACCAAGAAACTTTCTTTCTGGCTTCGGCCGTGGGCTTTCAACACATTCACTGAGTTAATGGGATATCTGGCCACCCCTTTACTGTCAGTAAACTTGACCGCCACGGCAGCATCTACCACCATATTAGCAAAGAAGTCCGCATCACTGATGTCTCAAAGTTAAGGCAGATAAATGTAATAAAACTACTTTCTCAACTGGAAAAGAAATACTGCAGACATTTATTCAAGATACACTCCGATGATTTTGGAAGACATGGAGGTCTTTGCGGCGTTGATTAAACACTCCCTGCCCAAGTCATCGGTCCCAATAGTCAGATTCTCGTTAATGTAGCGCACAGCTTCTCTGCAAGTACACAAAAAGGAAGTTTGCTCATTGGATTGTATGAATATTTAACCATTATATGAAAAAAAGAGCATTACATTTGATTGTTTTGTCTTACTTGCAAGCCAGACGGTATCCACTGATAACAGACGTGGGATGAATCCTCTGCTTCACCAGCTCATCTGCACTCTTGAGCAACTCTGCAGCAAGAATGACCTTTGACACGAAAACATAACAGTAATAAAGATTATTTTATAAACCCCAGTTCTAAAGATGTTTTGAGTGACAAAATTAGAAACGGGTCATCCTGAGATAAAGCCTTTTTGTTCTGCTTTAACTTGATTTTGAGGATGTTAAAAGAGTAAAAAGGAAGAGAGCTAAGCTTCACATATGGCTGACTTAAAACTATCACTTTTTTTTCTATTTCAGTCTCTGAGCTGATGAACAAGCTTCTAGCAGCTGCTACTCACCACAGACGTGGTGCCATCTCCAACCTCCTTGTCCTGCAGGTCGGCCAGTTCACAGAGGACCTTAGCAGCTGGGTGCTCCACCTCCAGCAGCTTCAGAATGGTTGCTCCATCGTTTGTGATGGTCACATCCTATTAAAACCACAATTAAAAGGCGTGTTAATAACCAAACCAAAACATTTACAGCTCATTTTAAATCTATTGCTTGTCAAAATGTCCTTAAAGTGACACAGACCCCAATGTCGTCCACCAGCATCTTGTCGAGACCAACTGGTCCGAGGGAGCTTTTGACGATGTTAGCGATGGCTGCTGCGGCCATAACTGTAAAAGCAAAATTATGTACACTTTACGGTAGCTCAAAGGTTTACTTAATTTGCTGAGCGTCATAAGATTTTGGAATATTCTGTCATTTTATTTAGTGGGGCGCACATCAGCTAGCCACACCTTCAGACCATGACAGTGTTGCTCTGTCCCATTAGCATAGCCCTCCATTCATTGTGTTTGAACGGAAGGTACTAATATGGGATTACACATTTCGCATCACATAGCCATTGTGTACAATATCATACGTTACACAAAACTGCAAAGAGAGAAAAAAGTCTCTGCAAAGTCCTAACGTTAACGAGAAATGTAGCTAGCGTTAGCACGAGCCACACGTGTTAAAGCTTACTTAGCTAATGACTTAGCCGCTTGTTGTTAAATCCACAAATAATAAAACTAACTCATTAAGTTTGACAACACCGCTAACCATTTTGAGTGCGGACAGATTCGCCAGTCGTTCTCTGCCCGAGCACGTTTAACGGACCGTCTAAAAGCGACATATTGGACCACCACACAACCAAGAAGAAAGGAAGCTCCGCGGTGCACTATGGGTAAAGAAAACTAAGGGGAAGGTTCGAGAAGAAAATGTATTATAAATCCTCATTTGTGTATTCATACCACATTTCTTCAAATAGTTGAACATAATAATTATTATTCAGCAAATTTTTACACTAAAAGGACGTCATTATATAACGAGAAGATTTCTGACTTTTATTATTACAAACTACATTTCCCAGCATACTTCAAATTACGTCACCACTTTCTTTTACGCTTGTTGTTTCTGAAATGAATGGCGTCTCTTTTGCGTCCTCTAGTGACCGCGTCGATTGCGCAGTTCCTGCTTTTGAAAACGCATTTTAAGAGATTTTTTTCAGATGTATTGTCATATCAAAATCATTCGTCAATCATGTAAAAACTGATACAGCATAATTTTGATGAAAATAATAAAATATGCCACTATAGACTGTCAGTTTGGAACAACAGTATTCTGCCTATTTAACAAACTTGATTTTAAACTATTTTTATCCTGCAAACAAACTAGTCCACATACTTTTAAATTTGTTTCAGTCTATTACAGATTCTAATGTCTTGGATGATTTTTATTCTTGTCAAATCCATTGTCTATCTAGTTATCGTTTATTTAAATCAGCTTTTTGCTGCTACTTGTTTTTATCTAATTTACAGCATAAGACTGAAAGGAGGATGAGAATGTTTTTTATTAACACAAAACCACAAGAACAAGAGGAGATTTGTTCAGTTTTATTACCTCCAATACAACATTTTGTAGAGCATTGACAACTAGCCAATTACAAAAATACTGAACACTTAACTTAAACGTCAAAGCATTATAAAGCATATCTATGGCATACAAGAATAACTCTTCTAAAATGTACATCTTTACAAAATGTTTACAAATAAAATGTAAAACAAAAAAGTGCAAAAAAATAACAAATCCCCACCAAAATCAAAAAAGTACAAAAAAATACATACTTCGTATTTTTGTTTTGTTTGATGCAAATTTCCTGAAATAATGTTGCAAAGTTTTTCTTGTATTTCTGTGAGTCATTGTTTAAGAATTAAGTATTGTGTGACAGAAAAGCTACAGTTTTCCTAAATATTATTCACAGTATTTGATTCAGATTTTGTGTGAGTGCTTAAAATTTAAACATTAAAATTTTCATAAATACGTCTACTTTTCCAACCAATTTGCGGCTCATAGTAATTATGGAAAGGTATTATTAAGACCCAAAAACGTGTTTAAGGATCAGGCGTGTGTGTGATAAAGACTGGGCATGCTCTGTGAGTGAGGATGTAATATCAGTAGTGTAACAGTGTCCTATTATGGAAAATACAGTACTGTTCTATAAACTGACTCCTTTTTGTGGTCCCCCTTCAAAATAAAAGTCAAAGCTAGCAACACTAAGAACAAATAATTTTCATGTTGAGATGCATATTTTGCCCACAAACTATTGCAGCCTATCTTACAGATGGTCGCAGGGTGGAAATAAATAAGATTTCTCATTATTTCTTATACAGAATCTAAAAAATCTGAATTTTCTCTTAATTTTTCTAAAGCAGTACACCCCGCTGACGGCGAAAAATAAGACAGGAGAAAGTGATAATTTAAAATCTTAGAATAGACATAAAAGTCAATGTTTATTTAAACACGTAACCTAATGATTATTACAGCCAAAATAGTTCCTTTATACCTGCATCTTTTTCATTAAAAGCTCCTAAAAGAGACGTACAAGCCCGGGCAGCAGAGATTTTCAGGTGTGAATCTGTAAAGCTGTTTGTTTACAATTGCTTGAACATGTTAGAGTAATTAAAAACACAAGCCATGACTATGGTCAGACCTTTTAAAAGAAGATTTTTGTGGGAAGGAATTAAACAATCACCTGTCGTGGATAAATAGCTATTTAAACAACCTCAGTTTGGAGAAATGGCGTTTGATTTTAACCAGATTAACATGCTAACATCATCTGCAATCCTAAAACAACTCTGACTAAAGCCTGATTCATGCTTCTCCGTCTGCGTCAGTGTGGAGACACGCAACGCCATTATCCATCCTTGCGGGCCTGCTGGAGAGCTCCGCAGGGACGCACGGAGTCGAGCTCTCTTTTCTAAACATCCACCCGTCGAGACGGAGAATGCAAGCTTGTGATTGGTCAGGGCACCGCTGTCATCTACACCTCCGCCATTGCGCCCTCAAAAACATAAAGAGAGCCGAGGATAACTAGCGGCAGACACGGAGCAGCTTGAAGAACACCTCGCGAAAAAACTCTAAAAACACGAACGTTTAATTCCCCGTGACTGGAGGAGTGAAAAGATGCGCAGCAAGCATTTTATTTGTGGACGGAAATGACAGGAAACGTGGGTTTAGAGGTGGCGAGCGCATGAAGAGGTGGAGGAGGATGAGAGACAAATGTGTCCGTGTTAAAAAGTCTCTTATATACACAAAAAACACAATATAAACACATTATCTTGGACCGGATACATGACAGGATACCACAGAACAGCGCTACGCCCTCTGTTGTCCTGCCGGGGAATTGCTTTGCAACACTCCCCAGGAGACGGAGAAGTATGAGAGCAAAACGCTTCCGTCAATCCGTGCGTGTCTGTCCCTTGCGGAGCTGACGGAGAAGCATGAACCAGGCTTAATACAGTTTTACAGTTATTGTTTGCACACTTTAAAGACTTGTCCATTAGAAGTGTCACTAACTGTCTTAAGTGCACCCTCAAACACGCATGCATATCCACGGTTATTTGTAGATGCAGCTGCAGCTAGCAGAGCACATCTTGCGCTACCGCTAGCTGCTGCTCAGTAGAAGGGTTCTTTTAGTTGTCATACAACATTTGTCTAAATGATGATGCAATGTCATAGTTAAATCAAATTGATTTTAACTAAATGTCTAAAATTGTCAGAGATTCAAGTTGTTTTAGGATGTTAGTAGTCCTCGTTTGAACTTGGCCCAGCTCAGATTAGCCTCTAACTTTCAAACGTGTTTTGCAGTGGTCTCTGGAAGGACTGAATGCCTTGCAATTCATACTTGGGTGGGGGGGATAAAAGCTCAGATGCGGTTGTTTCAGGAATTAGCAGAATGTCGTATTAGAGTAGAGCTCAACACGGCAGGATCTGGAGTCTTTCCTGATATTTGGACATCTCGCTCGGATTGGATAACAGCAAGGCGACTCTACCACTGTCCCTGTTTGCTCTGCGACATAGATACTTTACCTCCACAAATAACACAAGCCTGGAGGAGCTTCTGCCATGTGGTTGAGTTGCTAATGCTAACGGTTAGCTTCTGCTAGCGAAGACATTTTCCACTGTTCTTTCCCGTCACGAGTGAAGATGGGTGAGTCCATGAATTATTAGTGACGTTGACGTAGCTCTGTAAGGATTTTCTAATCAAGTTTCACTGTCTATGTTCTATCAGAAGCTAATGCAGGAGACTATTTTCATGTTCAGCCTGCATGAAAACTCTGAGTGACCGATTATAATCGGAAATAACCATTAAAAGATGTTTTCTCAGTGTTCCACCCCTTTGACCATCAGAAATAAAGTCACATGTTCAAGAACAGTTCATTCAAAGAGGTACAAAAACAGCAGGTGAGATGCTAGATGTTCACGACCCGTCTACTGAAGCCAACTTTAATAATCTGAGCTTGACCGAAGAGGAACTATGTAGAGGTCCTGAAGCAGAAGGATCCTTGTAGATCAATCGATGACACGCGTTCTGAACAGCTGCATGTGTGCAATAGAATGAATTCAAATGAATAAAGTTTTTAAAAGGCTCAGACGATTTCCGAGTTAAAAAATCCATTCAAGTTTAAACTAGTTTCAGTCACACTAAAAAGCAACTCTCACCAAAACTCTGGAAGTGCTCATATTCAGGCTTTGATGCTCTTGACACACGCGAGTTCTATGACACTAATGGTATGGCTGCAGTAAAAAACTTAAAATAGACGTGTTATATTTGATCTTTATTAATTCTGCTGTAGCCGTGTGGAAGTGGAGCGTTGAAGGCGAAGCAGCTCGGTCCCTGTTGGTGCTATTTGGTGTTTATCAACTCGTATTTGGCTCTCGGCTCTCATGCGAAGCTACTGGAGCTCAGACACTGAAACTTCTCTCTCAGAGACTGAACGATGGTGGGTTGGCTCTGCTGCTGCTCACTCCAAAGGTACTTTTCTAGTTGCTCGTGGTCCAGAGGCCTAATGGGGTTGCAGGAGCGGGCCGGGGTGCACGGCAGGCTCCGAGACTGAACAAGAGCCCGATTCTGAGCGGGAGGGACCGCCGGGTTGCCGTTCCCCTGCTCCAACCTGTCCCGCACCGCTTCGTTCTCATCGTCGGAGCGGATCTCTACGTAGTCATCGTCGTCTTCCCCATTGTCCTTGAAGTTGGCCAGGTAGTTCTGGGTGGCGTTGAGGATGCTCAGAGCCGAAGCCCGGTTCAGAACCACGATCTGTTGGCCATCGTGTAAAGTTAGGTCGGACTCTCCCAGCGTGGATCGTTCTGGGAGGCTGCTCTGTCGACCAGAGCGACCCAAACTGGAGCTGCAAAGTCTGTCAGAGGTTCCTGGACTCTTGACCTCAGACTGGTGGTGGTTTTCCTGCTGGGGACTGCCGAGAGAACTGGCTGACTGGCACTGACTGGACGGGGAAGACTTTGAGGAAGGATCGTTAAAGGAAGGATGTCTCTTTATGGTGCTGTACACATGCTCTTCCTCCTCACTCGGAGCTGAGATGCAGGAGCTCCACCTCAGTGATGATGGACCACTGGGGGACTGAGGGGACTTGAGGGAAGGGATAGAGCAAGTGTGTGTAAGTCTGTGCTGTGAGGCGGCAGACGTTTGAGCCTGACCGGATGAGGACATGAAGCTCGCCAGCTCTCCGTTGCTGTAGGTGGAGTGAAGCCAGTCCTCCTCCAGGGAGGTTTCTGTCATCGACTGGGAGGATGGCAGCCCTCGATGGGCGTGGTGCTGGGTGGAAGACGTCTGACTGGCGGAACTGAGAGAATCCTTAAACACCACCTGATCATACAGGTGGGAGTATTCCGCTATCCTTGCACCTGAAAAGACAGAAGAGGTTTAAATTGTTAGTTTCAAACTCTCAGATCTGAACATTTTGAATATTTTGAGGCTGATATGAATCTTTTCATGTTACCTATAGCTGCACCACCTTGCTTTTTCTCCTCCAAGATGGCGGCAAGGTCTAGCTGTTTCTTCTCCGCTCTACTCCGACTGCAGGAATCTCCAGGATCCATGCTCCTCATCCGCAGCAGCTGGTTAGCCTTCTTGATCTTCTGGCTATACTGCCGTGCCATCAAGAACACACGGCTCTTGGATTTGTCCATCAGGTCCAGGGAGAAGTCCACAGACTCCCCCAGCAGAAGGGAGGAGGATGCCAGGGGGGAGTCCAGACCTGCCAGCTCACCTGGAAACAAACTATGGAGATCTCTGACGACGCCGTCTCTCTGAGAGGCGTTCCTCTGAGGAAGCTCCACCAGGTCATCGTCCTCCAGTCGGAAGCTGCCGCTGCTGAGTCGGGCTAGTCTGTTGCGGATGCTCTTCACTGTGCCCGGTGAGGGCTCTGGGGTAACGGGTAGGGGGCGAGAGGCAGGAGAAGGGGTGTGGGTTTCTTCGTCAGTGGTGCTTTCAGCATGGAAATCTGGAAGGTTGATGACTGGGATAGTGAAGGACGGCGTGGAGGCAACAGGTGGGGATTTGGGATGTTGTGCTGGAGGGCTGGCAGTTTGAGGACTAACCACCGGAGGGCTCTTCCTAGGGCTGTTTTTGACAGAAGAGACCTTCTTAGGTGACTCGTTGGCACCGACAGGGAACGCAGCAGGAAGTCGATCGGCTTTCTTCTCATTGTTCTTGATGTAGTTTTCAAAGTCACTCCAAATCTCATCGGCGCTCTCAGACATCCTTCTGCCCTTCTGGCTAAAGGTTTCAGGACCGGAGGAAGAATGATCCATTTCAGAGGATTGTGGAGCAGGACAAAAGGCCTCTGGTCCTTCATCCTTTAGAAAATTGAGGCTCTCCTCTGAAACAAACCCTCTGAAACTTTCAGTCAGGTCTTGTTCTGAAGCCGGAACACTGTGTTTGTCATGTTTTTGTTCCTGGCCTTCGTGAATTCCCCTCAGCTTTGTGGATGGTGGCTCCCTGAAGCAGATCGTGTCATAAATATTCTCCTCTACTATTTTGAGCTCATCGTTCTCACATGGCTTCACCTCCTGCATGGAGGACCTGTTGCTCTCAGACGAACTGTCCGGTTGGATTAATGACTCTGCTGCACTCCCTCCCTTTGTTGCGCTCCCTTGGGAACCCTGAGTATTTGAAGACGTCTCCTGCTGCATCTGTTTTTTATCAGGGTCCCTCCGGATGAGACTCATGCTTCTCAGGTCCTCGAAGCTGATGTTATCATAAACATTCTCTGCGTCATCCATCGTCAGCTGCTCGGCTGAGGAGGAACCAGACATGTCATTGCTGGATGACTCGGTGTGAATCACTTCCAAGTTGCTGTGACCACCCCGGTCATCATCTTTGGGACTCCCTAGAGCCTCTGTGGCGTTCTCTCCTGCACTGCTCGCCCTCCGCAGGACTCTGCTGCCATCAGGTGGAGGGTCAACCTGCACCGTGGGCACCTGCTCCACATGCCAGCTGCAGGGTCGAGCCGTTCTGGGTGACGAGGTGGCCTCTGACCTCTCAGAGAAAATTTCTGGTGTGCTTGGTTCTGTGGGGACGAACATTTGGTAGATGTCCTCGTCCTCGTCGTCGGGCTGCATCGTCCTCTGGCGGGTGGGGAACATGGCTCTGCGAGCCCGGTGGTCTGCCCAAATGTTCTGCACTGATTGGTCTGTTTCTGTGACTACTACAGGGGGAACGGGGGAGTCTGGAGGTTCCTCCATTACATGTGGTGTCCTGAGGAGTGGTGGGTGGTGACTCCCGTCCCTCACTAGCGATTCTCGGGCTTTCTGAGATGCAAAACAGCAGAAACATGTCTGAGACCAACTCAAACAGAGAGAAACTACCCTCACGTCACAGCTACGAGCTGCTCACCTGCAGGTCCAAGGAGCTCATGTTGAAAGCTTTCCACTGCTCTATGCCGTCAACAGACGCTTGAGGATTCAACCTTTTTCTGCTGCTTTTTCCAGGAACTCGTAGCCTCTTCTTACCTCCCTGAACATTTTTAAGATTACCAACGTATCCCCAAAGCAAATTCACAAATGTGTTTTTATTTCACCCCTAAACTCACCAGACCACTGTCATCCTCATCATCAGCATCCTGCTGGTGCGACTCCTCTCCTTCCTCCCTGTCGCTGTGGTCATAGTGATCTCCAGGATCCAGGGACTCCTGTGATTGGTTGATCAGGCTCCGGCTCCGGCCTACGGTGCCCAGAGCCAGCTGGGACACTGGAGACAGCAGGCTGACGCCGAGACTGGTACGCTGAAGGGGGAAAGAAAGAAAAAGTCTTAGGAAGGACAAAATTGTTGTTTTTTTGTGTTAAACATGTGGTTATGACTCACTTTTTCACCATCAGCATTGGCGACATTCTGCTTTGCATTCTTCAGTAATTTGGAAAGAGGATCTAGGAGCATTTAAATAAATGATAATATAAATATGTTGTATGCTATTTAAAGAATCAAGTCAATTCTGCTGTTTTCTACCTTTTCTGCGTCCTCTACGGGGGACCGGGCCCTCCTTGGTGTGAGGGGGGTCCTTCTGGTCGCTCTCGGCGCTGTAGTGAAAACCAGGATGATCTGACAAATTTCAGAAACGCACACACACTGTTAATATGGAGCAAATATGGTTAAATCTGGTGGGAAAGAACCCCAGTACAACATAAAATGATGCTCACGTTTTGCATCCATCTCCAGAATGGCTTGTTTGGCCTAAAGGTGGAGAAAAAGGAAGTGAATTCATGAGATTTTAGCCACAAGGTGGCATCACGTTACAGCCTAAAAAAAGTTTCACTGCACAAGTAGACAAAATGTACAAAAGTAAGTGATTTTTGCTGTTTTTTAAACTTTATTTTAAGGATTAAATATTTGATTTTCAAACATGTTTTAGATTTAATTGTCAGAAAAAGGCAAAAATCTGTTGAAATTTATGGGAGTTCTGAAAAAATGCACGTTTCCTTTTGTTGTTTCTTCTCTAATCAATACGACCACTCAGTTTATAACTCTTAAATGTGTTTTTATCAGTAAGCTAATGATAGAATGAAGCACAAATCAGGACAAACATGTATATTTTTATGTTATTACAGATGTACAACCGCTGCTCTTCGTACCTTGGCAGGAATTTTGGCAGGATGATTTTCTAGAATGAGTCTTTTAAGGTGCAGGATCCACATGCGCTTATCTTGCTGGGATTTGGCCTGCGGGTCAGAGCACAAAAACATCGCTAAGAGGATTATGTCACACATGCACGTTAAATGCACCAAGATGATTCCTTCAAAATATATCTTTTGTGCATTCTTCACATTAGATTGTGTGTTCTTTTTTCAGGACATGCCCAAAACACAGCGGTTAGGTAACAACAATGATTGCTTTTAGCCATTAAACACCAAACATGTCTGAGCGGCACTGAGATATCCTCCACAAAACAATGAGACACCTGCAAATAACCATCACACGCTGTGATTCTTGCACAACGCTGCTGCTGGTATCTGCAGAACATCTCCAAACATGTAATAATTGCATTTACAAAACTTAACAGTGTTGCTGTACCTGGACTGTGTGCTGCAGTTTGGGATTCTTGTAGTGAAACACGCTGAAACTCAGTGGCTCTTTTGGAATGATTTCCACCAGCATCAGGTTGCAGCACTGCAACAGGAAAATGCGTGAAAATGGCCATTTTCGTGCATTTGTGTGAAAACAGTGCGTCGTGTTGCGCGCCTGACCAGAATGTGAGCTTTGTATGTGTAGGTTTCTTCTCGTTTTTTGGTAATCAGCAGCAGCTTGTCAAACAGGAAGAGGGTTCTTTCGTTTTTGGCTCGCTGCAGACGAAACGTTCCCTCAAGAACCAGCTCTCCGTAGCCGATCAGATCGGGGCCCTTCCAGTTGGTCAGGAGGCTCTGAATTTCCTGCAGGAAGGACAATGTTACACACATACAGGAAGTCAGACCGTTTTCTGTTTATTTTGACTCAAAACATAGAAAGCAGTTATGCAACTGCGATGGAAAAAAGGGATTTCTTGACTTTTCATCAAAGAACAAAACTAAAACCACGAAAAGCAGAAGATGAGTGAAATCGTTTGTTTTCACAGGAGAAACAAAAGTCTAATTTTGGATTGAAAGTTATTTCTAGACAAAAACTTTTATCTTGTTTTCATCACACTCATGTTTTTACACACTCCTGCATTCATCTGACCATCATGTCTGCCTGCAGATAAAAGAAACAAGCTTCCCTTTTATGTCTCCTCCTTACGCAAGGCCGTCATTAGTCTGGTGGGGAAAAAAATAAGCGCCTTGCATAAGATGTTGGGAAGATCACGGCCTTGGCTAGATTCACATAACTATTCGGTTCTGCAGAACAATTAAAGAGCTGGCTCCTGGAAAGGCATGGAACTGCTGCGTGTGTTTTAGATAACTTGGAAAGCGTGTCGGTGCAAGCGCTCGCGGTACCTGCAGCCTGACGGCATGCTCGTGTTTCCTCTTCATGTCGTTGATGTGCCAGGCCACCCTCTGCATGGTGTCGATGGCTTCCTGCACAACCTCGTAGATTTCTGTGTCCTTCTCCATGTGGTTGGCTATCTCCTACACCAAACAAGCAACGTGTTAGCATTTGAACAGGTTCTCACCCACATGCACATCTACAGGAACATGCACACTGTGCACCATCTGCCTGAACATTTGGCTCCTCCACCATAGCTGACTTTTAAGCCGAGTCAAATGCATGCATTTGCGACAGTATAGATAAAATCATTACTTGCACTGGCAGGTGTGTGCCTGCACTCCATCATACGTCACTGGGTGCATTTAAAGACGGCTGGCAGACAGACATACATGCAACAGGAGGTGGTACTTCAGGATCCGCTGCACTGGCTTGAGCAGGTAGGAGCCCAAAGGTAAGGAGTGTCTCAGGGATTCTTGGCGTTCGCGGAAGAACTTGGCCAACGCCTTGTTCGTCATGCACTCGGTGAGCACAGCCACTGACCTGTGGAGACAAAACACAGCAAACAAGATGTCAGAGATGTGCAGTTAATTGTAATCTGATAGCTAGCTGAAGAGGGAGAGCTTTAATGAGCACTCTGACTGACATTGCTTAAAGGGAAACATTTCAGACGACTGTAGAAATTACATGCACGACATTTATGCTGTCAAATTGCTCTGATCCTGGCACAGCTACAATGCATTTCACACGTATGTAAAATGTCATTGAAATGACTGATCGCATCAAAAAGGTTGTGGATTTTCATGCACATGCATTGCTCCTAATTCCCAAGCAACTGTGCACACAAGCACTGTTAAATGCATGAATATCCCATGATAACCTGCCCGTTTTCTGAGTGCTACACTATTATAACATGAGATTTATGTTCAAGACTTGACCAAAACTAGACATTTATTTTAGGAGAACAATCTTAGTTAACTCTAGCATGACATTATTGGGTGATGTGCATTCCATCCGTGCTGGACAGCTAATTTGACTGGTTTTTCTCATCAAACCAAATTTCAGCCTCAAATGTCAGTCGAGCTGCAGGAGGCAAGTTTTTAGTTTCTGTCGAGCCACATTTAGAAACTTTAGAGCTGCAGCACTTAACGACCTCGTAAGATTTGCTGCTCAGTGACGCTCGTTTGCTGTGACCTACCGACGAATAAAGAGCTTTTTCAGTAGCTGTCCAGTCAGTGTGTGTGTGTGTTTGTGTGTGTGTGTGTGTGTGTGTGCGTGTGGTGGAAAAAGACAGAACAAGACAGTTGTGAACTTGTCTAATTCTTCCGTCTTGTGTGTGTTTGTGTGTGTGTGCACATATGCATGTCTGCGTGTCTAAATTCCAGCACGGCTCCACACAGGCCTCACATTGTTCTGCAGGAAACCTGACCTTAGAGCTCCGTATGACCACGATGCATCCACAGCCTTGGTAAGTGTGTGCATTCATGTGCAAGTGTGTCCTTCTGCGTGTCATGTGTGACCTTGACGTGGGTCGCCAGCTGTGTGGGTGAGGCAGCAAACAGCTGACAGCGGCTCGCATTCACCATCAGCGCTCAATTAGTCATCATTAACTGAGTTTTGGAAATTTTGCAGCCAGAGGAGAAAGTGTGCACAAATTTCCCCCTCGTTCTTCCAGCCCACGGCTTCGTGGCGCTCGCACAAAGCAGAATAAAACATTACCAGCGTCAGGTATGATAAGGTGACAAATTTAATACCCATCTGTCAGCGTGTGAGCTGTCAGAATAAAGGAATGGGGATAAAAAAATGAGCAGGAAGGGAGGTGGAGAGAGCCCAAGGCACAACTGACATGAGACAGTTTGACTCCTGGTGAGGAGGCCTCAATAGAGCTGAGTCGGTTAGTTGGGGAGGAGTAAAAGGTAATTCACTGAATCAGACAGACAATGGAGCTATGTGAGATGCTGGGAAGACAAGCAAGTGGAGGTGACATCCTGATGGGATAACGACTGTGGCGGCCTTCTGAACGAACATAATCACACAGAGACAAGCAGCTTTCTTACCGTGGGTAGTTGGTGCAGTACTGGGTGTAGATGTGGAACTCTTCACTCTGCAAAAACACATGAGATAAACATGAATCAAATAAACGAAGGGGCAGGTGAGGGCGTTTTGGGAGGGTATTTGTGTGTAAAGCAGGTGAATTAACAGGATTAGTACTTTCCTCAAAAATCTGATGTATATAATCCTTTAAAGGGGTTTTCTGCCATTCAATAGATATATTAATATTAAATGTTTTGCTCTTGGATGCAGACACAATCCTTCCCCAAAATGTGTGATTTAACTCAAAGTGTGTCCTTAAAGTAAAAATAGATATTTTTTAAACTTTAAGCTAGAGCTTTAACACTGATCTCAGTGATTGTTGGGGTATAAACTTGACCAGTGTCATATCTGACACCACTCTGCAGCCCTCTGCTAGTTAAAAACCATGCTTGATAATTTTGTGCAGTGGGTAGGTGCCCTATAGGGGTAGCTCTTCACCTGCTTTACGGCTGTTAGCTGTAATGCTAGTGGTTAGCATTTAAAAAAAGAAGAGGTTTACATTTTTTCTGTTTGCATCATGGCGGAGTCTGGAAGTAAAAGTAAGAGAGTGATATCTTTGGAGGCAAGGAAAAGAACTAAAACCAGAGTGAACATCCGCGTAACCTACACTAGTTTGAGGGAGCTGAAGGAGGCTACGAAATCACGGACTGATAGTGACCTTGCTTTGTTGCCACTGGACTTGTAAGTGTTAATATTTTTTTTGTACAGCAGTTAGGATCTTTTTACTTTGTGGTTTATTTTAGAATTAGTTGGCTCATGTTGGTGTTAGCTTGTTGTTAGTGCTAGCTACAGCAGGGTTGTTTACAACCGTTGTAATTCCACTTTCAACCAGCAGGACAGAGGAACAGGAAAATGCTCCGTTACTTTAAATCCAAATTAAGGGATTCATATACAAAGTTAACCTTTAGTAGAGAATGTGCAACACTAAAAGTCACTTAAATCGGTCATTTTAGCAATGATCTTTTATTGATTGGGTCTTGTTTGTGGTTCTTGTTAATGTTATTTCCCTCTTTTTATTGCCCTGAGCGCTTGTTTTACTTAACTCTAAATCAAACTCACCTCCAACACATGCCTTGATGGGGTTTGGTTGTAAAAAGATCAAACAAGCATTTAACAAAAGCTCTGTAAAAGTAGGTTTGCATGTATTAAGTCTTAAACGAGAGGCTAACCCACACCAGTTGAGATCACGTCTGGATTATTCTGATGGATTCAGTTTTTGTTTGGTTTGCATTATTTACTTGGATGCTGATTTAAAAGTTAACTGCGTTATTCTCCCTTCAGTCACGCTTCATTTCAATTTAACACAGATTCCAGGATGAAATCCAAAACCAAGAATTTGCAAAAGATTTTTATTTAACAATGACTTAAAACTCTGGGATTGTTAAACTGAACATTTTTAATGTAAATGTTCACCGGTTTCACGGCCTGTGGCTCATATCAGCCGTAGTTTCATGTTTACAGGTTACGACTCAGATCACCACTGACAAGGCCTCAGCTCCCCTCCTCTCACTGCTCCAAACAAAAACTCATCCCTGTAGTTTATGATTAGCTGAGCTCAAGCCTTTAATTCTCCATTTATCTCAGCAGCTCTGAGTGGTGGGATTAAATATCCCCTCACTCCTCGTTTCCGCCCCTTTAACTGATGTGTTCCCGCCTTGCATACCTCTCTGAACATCAAAGACGCCCAAAAAGGGCAGCCTGACTTATCAAAGCTGGTCTGAACCCCTTTGGTCTCACCTTTCTGTTGCACGAGGTTTCTCCTCCTCTCTGCAACACATTCTTCATCATGGTCATTTAACTCAAACATTGCCTTGATTCTGGTGATGCTCCCTGTTTGAAGCTTCAAGTGTGCTGTTGCATAATGCAAGAGTCGACTTAAACCTGGTCTGTGTGTTTTTGGCTGTGTGAGTGTGTGTGAGTTTTAAAATAAAGGGGGTCCACAGGAAGCATCATAAATAAATAAAAAAAACAGACGATAGGAATCTGCTTTTGTGTTTGGACTCATGTGGACAGAGCAACGCGGACACCTTTAGCTACATCTGATCTGACAAAACTTCACAGGAGATGTGTGTGAATATTTGAGTTGTAGCTCTAAACGGAGTGAAGTGAATACAAACAAACTTCAAAGCCAAAATATACGAACACACATGCACACAAATACACAGTCTGGTGAGCCTGAGGTGCTCCGTGGGAACTTTCCTAAATTGAAGAGCAGAGTTCTCTTCCTCCTCCTCATTGTCTTCCTCCAAAGAGCGAGCCTAAACACAACCAGATGTGCCACCATCGATTTTTGATGACACACACTCCTAATATCCACTCACACAACCACAAAGAGTTTTATGGAAAACTGGATTCTGCAGACTATGCATGACTTTAACATGCACACACACACTCTTTGAAGCGAAATAGAATACAGATCTAGAAATAGCTCACACTTTCCTTTTAGAAATATATACAAGCTATGTTAAATCCTATAATCACCACATGTGAGACTTCAGAACTCTGCAGCTGCTGAAAATCAAAAATATCCTCTTTTAAATACAAATTATACAGAAAGAGTTCTGGTCATAGAGAGCTGAAACCAATAATACGTACAGCAGGAACAAGGCAACCCACTTATCAGCTTAATAAAGTCATAACACAGCCAGTTCTGTTGGTGCAGTCATTCGTTTAAGACCAAAAGGACCAAAGTGAGTCAGCAAGTACAGGACAGTTAATCATGAGCAGTAGGAAAAAAACTTGTGTGATTGTCTTTTAATCAGCATGTAGCAACCCATAGAAGACTTTAACCCTCCCACTGTCTTTATGGGTGACCCAATGAGGAAAGTTGACCATTGAGAAGGATTGATGGTTTATCCCTTGAGGTCCACGTGGCAGGGGTGAGGTGGTGATCACTCCTCACCCCTGCATCTTAGAGAGAAATACTGAGTTGCATGTTTGATTTTGTTTGCTTCTAAAAGGCTTTTTCATGAATTTGATGTGACTAAAACCTCAGGTGATGAGGCTAATGGGCCCATACTATTATTCAAGGGTGCATAGTGGTTGTAAACCTTTAAACTAGAGCTTTAACATTGTTGCGTTAGAAGCTTGGCCAGTTTTGTGTTTGACACCACTCTGTAGCCCGCTGCTGACTAAAAATCGCACTTGATACTTTTGTTGAGTGGGTAGGTGTCTTATAAGGGGAAATCTTTACCTAATTTACATTCACTGTAATGCTAAAAGTTAGCATTTTCGGTTTTATAATCATAAATGAAAGGTACAAGAAGAAGTTAGCTTTTTTGTTGGCATTATGGCGGAGCCTGGAAGTAAAAGTAATACAGTAATGTCTTTGGAGGCAAAGCAAATAATTAAAACCAGAGTGACAGGTCTACATTAGTTTGAGGAAGCTAAAAAATTGTTGCCTGATAGTGACCTGGCTTTTGTTACTGGACTTCTAAGTAATACTACTTTTTGTCCAACGGTGTTTATTTTAGTTGGCTCATATTAGTGTTAGCTTGTTGTTAGCGCTAGCTACAGCAGGTTGCAGCAGAGTTGTTTACGACAGTTGTAACTTTCAACCAGTAGAGTGGAGGAGCAGGGAACTGCTCTGTGTTACTTTAGGATTTAATTATAAGAACAAACAAACCAATAAAAACACATAATGTAAATTTAAATGTGATTTCCTAAGTAATACACACACCCATGTGTCTACAGCAGGGGTGTCCAATCCTGGTCCTGGAGGGCCGGTATCCAGCAGGTTTTGTCGTTTTTCTGCTCCAACAGGCTCAATTCAGTGGTTGAAACACCTGTGCAGCAGCTCATCAGGCTCTGCAGAAGCCTATTAATTAGCTGCTGATTGAAATCAGGTGTGTTGAAACGGAGTTCAAACTAAAACATGCAGGATACCGGCCCTCCAGGACCAGGATTGGACACCCCTGGACAGACTTCCCACAATGGGGGTGGGGGATTTTATGACGGGGGGCTCTTTTGAGCTCAACACCAGCAGACTTTAAAGATGTTAATAGGGTAATGCTAAATTTATGCTTCACTGTTACTCTATTTAAATATGTTAATAACTTTCAAGCAGAGTCATCACTGGTGGCTTGTGCAGCCTTTTTTCGGCTTTGCAGATAAAAGCAGCAGGCTGTGTAAAAATAAAGGTGTGGAACACTGAAAACCCATTTTATGATTATTTCTGATTATATTTGGTGACTCAAAGTTTTTTATACAGGCTGAACATGAAAATAGTCTCCTACACATCTCCAGCATTAGCTTCTGATAGAAAATAGACGGTGAAACGCTAGGATTGAAAATCCTGACAGATTTACGTCACACTGTCACTTAACATTCATAGACTCACCCATCTTGACTCATGACGGGGAAGACTGCTGTTGATTTAGCATCCATGAAACAGCAGAGAATGTTTCAACTGGTATAAGCTAACCATTAGCATAAGCAACTCTACCACACAACAGAACTCCTCCAGGCTTGAGTTATTTGTGGAGATAAAACATCAACGTTGCAGAGCAAATGGAGTCAGTGGTAGATTAAATTCAATTCAAAAATACTTTATTAATCCCAGAGGGAAATTGATTGCTGTAGTAGCTCAAAATAATAATAATAATAATCAAGTCATCAAAAAGTTATTGTTTATTACAATGGCCGTTGGCAGGAAGGGTCTCCAGTAGCGGTCCGTGTTGCAGCGAAACTGAAGAAGCCTCTGACTGAAGACACTCTTCCGTTGTCGGACAGTCTTGTGAAGGGAATGCTCAGGTTGTCCATAATTTTCTTGATTCTCTGGAGAATCCTTCTTTGCATTATCTCCTCCAGTGGTTCCACAGTCGTCCCCAGAACAGAACCAGCCTTTTTTATTAGGCTGTTGAGCCTTTTCAGGTCCCTGCTTCTGATGCTGCTACCCCAACAGACGATGGCTGAAGAGATTACACTCTCAACAACAGACTTGTAGAAGATGTGCAGCATCTTGCTACAGACATTGAAGGACCTAAGCGTCCTCAGGAAGTGCAGTCTGCT